TAATCATCACAAAGACCTCATAAAAATCAACAATATTAAAACACTAAATGACATTATAACAGATCTCAAACTTATTAAAAAACAAATCAAACAATATTTGGATAACTGAACTGCTTACAGACCTATTGACACTTATGAGTTTAACTCCAACTAGTTAGAAGAATACTAACTCAAAACTACAACTAGATTAGACTATTACAATTTAGCTCTAGCTAAATTTTCAACAAATGAAAATTCTATAACTCTTAATCAGCTACCTAACAATAAGACATGTAGTCCATCTGGAATTAGCTATAAAATGCTAAAACAAGCTGGCCTTGTCTTTCTTTAAACAAAAACCACTCTTTTTAACTGATGCATTCAAACTAATCATATATCCAAGTAATGGAAAGAAGGTCATATCTTTCTAATATCAAAAAAACCTATCTTTGATGGAAACTTATCTAATACAAGACCTATTAGCCTAGTTGAATATATTAAAAAACTATATACCAAACTTCTCACTAATTGTCTTAACCTAATATTCACTCAACATCTTATCTTATCTCTCTATAACTACATTGCCCTACCTGACAATAGTACTTTTATTTTTATACATATACTCAATAATATTATTGAAGATGCCAATTACAATAACAAACAACTTTGGCTTTTGTCTTAGAATATGAGCAAAGTATATGATTCTGTAAACTTTGATCTTTTTACTAAGTCTTTCAAATGTATTAATATCTCAATCACTTATTAATATACTCATTAATCTTCTTACTAATTGCCAAAACTGTATTATATCCAATCTTGAACTTACTGATCTTTATTCAATTAAAAATGGTATAAACCAAGAAGAAACTATAACTCTCTTATTTTGAAGAATTTACTATGACTCTTTAATCAATAGAATAGTATCACAATTTTCAGGATATTTTTTGTCTACATTTTGGAAAACCAACTTATACTCATCTCAAACTCAATGCTTAAAAACATCTGTATCAGTTTTAGTCTACATGGATAATACTCTTTGGATTGCAAAATCCAAAGATGAACTCAACCTAATAACCAATACTGCTACTTCCTTCTACCATATAATTAATATTCAAATTAATCCAACTAAGTCTATCCTAGCTATAAATTCTTCTACCATCTCTTTGTAGTTTTTTGGATCACTAATTTACTCTATTTCTAAAAACCAACCATTCAAGTTTCTTAGATGTTAGTTTACACTTAACAACAAACATTCTCAAACCATTAAACTGATAAAAGAAAAGGCTTTTAGCCTTATTAACATAGCCAACACAAAGAAAATTACTAACAAACAAATTGTTTACATTATCAACACAATTATTATTCCAACTTTAAAATACAGACTTTATAACATAATCCTTCTTCATACTGTATGTAACCAAATCTTATCCAAATACCTTATTGTAGCTAAACACAAATCTCATTTTTCTAGATCTATACCAAACAGTACAATGCTTAATCTATTTCTATACAATATACATAATATCTGGAATATTCAACTTCAATACCACATCTCTAACTATCTCCAATGAATTAACAATTCTGACCTTTTTAGTATTACAACTCGAATTAGACTTCAACAATTACAAAACAACTTATGGTCCTCTACTAATATATTACATTACCTCAAACCTACTATAGATGGTCCTAACAAATCCTTACTAAATTTTAAAATTATTCAACTTTTTTTTTATCTTGAGTTAATCATCTTAGTTAATCCTAACTTGACTTGGTTTCATACAATTAGTAATGATGACTAATCATTAGAGTCTATTCTATTACAGTATTCAAAATTTCTAACTTTTAAAAAGCAACTTAGATAATCAAACATTATGTATCTTGAACAATTCTGTACTGCAGATAACAGCACTTTATTTGACTGAAAACATCTCTCACCAAGATTATTATACTTATCTAAAGGCAGAAAACCTTTTTGGTTCTCTTATTTAGAAGATACAATCTTAGTATACTCTTATTATCGAAATATTTTATTTTATTACCAATTACTAGGCCATAACCCTTATGCTTATTATACTATTAATACATCTAAAAAACTTACTAAATCCAAACTCTGATTACTTTTATAGTACAATAATAAAATTATTATTAGGAAAATATGAAAATATTTTTCATCTTCTAATTACTATTCTATTACTTATTGGACCTTTAATATAAACTTAAACTATACAAGAATTTACTCTTTACCCTCTGTTAGCTACAAACAATATACAGAATGCTATCTTAATTCTCATAAAATTAACTAAACCTGCATTATTGAAGTTTCTGTAATTATTTCTACACAATTTCTTGGCAGAACTAACTCAAAGTACCAACTCAACCTTAATGCCAACTACTTGGACTTTATCTGCTCTATAGCTATCAAATATCCAACTCATATTTCTCCTTCATCTAATATTTCTATTATCAACTCTATTGCTTCTGAAATCTTTATTTTAAATGAATCTACTAACAAATTTATATTTATCTCATATCATAACCTCTCTTACTAACAACTATTTTTCTATACTAACAGATCTGTAATTGATATTGGTATTGACCAATATACAATAGGTATTGGTTGAATTCAAATTAACAATAACAATCAAATTATTAATTTCTTTTCTACTAAAATTAAATTCTGGTCTTCATCTTACAAACCAGAACTCTTTTCAATCATTACTGCAATCTCAACTACTCTTCAAAACTGTATTATTAATATCTTTACAAACTCTTAATCAGTAATCTCTAAATTTAATAATCTTCAACTTAAGTCAATTCATCCTAACAAGTTACTCAAATTCAATTCATGACCAATTTGGCAGACTCTTTTAAACATTATTAAATTATATAAATTACAAATTACCTTCCACAAAGTACAAGTCCATTTAGATAACTATCTTAATGAGCAAACAGACTCTCTTACTAAACAATGCCCACTGTCATCATTTCTTTTATTCAACTATACAAATCTTTACAACCTTTATCATATTTTCCAATAGGAATACTATTATATAGAACTTCCTACAAAACACTTCATTAAACAAATCTGTAAAGTCTACATCTTAGCTATATGGGCATCACAAAAATGAAACAATGAATGGTCATACTTTAACTAAGACATTGATTGGAGATCCACTTGGCTTTATTTCAATCACAATCAAAAACCCTTATACAATATTACCAACTTTAGACTTAATCAACTAAAATCTTTTAAAACAAAAATTCTTCTTAATGAGTTGTCAACATACTTATTATATCATACTATTTACCTAAGCCAATATCTAGACACTATTTATTTTTTTTGTAACTTAACTAATTCCTATTCACACTGGCATATCTGTACTAATTCATCTTTATTCGATCAAATTATCCAAACTTCTACTAACCAAATTATCTCTAATAACTTGTCTGATCTTGATATCAACTATAAACATAACTTAATTAACAAAATTCTTCATCACTTAGGTCTTAATTCTCTATATACATTATCTAATATTTACTATTCCAATCTTATTCTTAAAGGACTTATTCCAAAGTCTCTTATATCAATAATTCAAAACTCTAACATCTTATACAAAACAATCTTTTAAGTTATTATTAATATTTTTCTTAATATTAATGAACAATCATATGAGCAACTATGAAAAACATACTGTATCTACTTCTTTAATTGGAAAAATCAACAAAACAAACCCTGATCTCAATCAATTAACCAATCTTCAAGATCATTCAATCCAATTAGAAAACATACTCATTCTCAAAGAGATTACAATTACTCATGCCTTTGTAAACTTCTTGATCAATTATATTTTCACTCAAATACATGCCTTCCTATTGATCAAGTAATTTATAAAATTAATATTTGATCCATTTTATAGATCAAATACAGCATATCATCAAATTATATATTAAACATTCAAATCTAAATAAGTTTTGACCACTCTAATAAGTTTAGATTATAAATAAACTAGTCTGAACTTTTATTCTTGTATATAATTTTCAATTTATTTGTTTTATACAAATAATAGTAACTATATAATTAGCAGTTTAATGGTTAGCTCTGACTGCAAGTGTTGGCTTCAATCATAGCATATATATATGTAACTATTTTAAATTATTAATAAAGATATAAGCAAGGCCTTACCTTAATACCAAAAAAATAATAATAATAATATAAATTGGCCTAAATTAGATGGGTCTATATATTATAATTTTGTAATAATTTATATATGCCCACCTATACTAAATGAGTTCCAAAAAAAAACTACTTTGATTATATAAAAAATTTGAAAAGTTATTATTACCAAATTTCATATAATTTTCGCATAACTATATAATATATTAACCAATCATATTTTCAATCTAATGATCAGAGCAACGACCAATAAAAACGAACCTCTATCTTGCTGTGCCACACACCTTCTTTTGATGATGATTGCGTCATCCTCAAACAACTTCATAATCCAATTTATTCTGTACAATCATAGTAAAGTGTCGGATAATTTACTATCACGTATTCGTAACAATTTACTATTATTAATGGAGGGTATTACATTTTTCGTAATAACGTGCGTAAGTACATATACGTTATATTAGACTTTTAATTAATTTTATCTATTTACGATCACGCAATTCAATCACGTTACATAACCCGAACCCCGGCGCTACGAATTACTTGGGTACTATCGAACGTGTCGAACACGCAGTGTATTACATATTAGCAAAGCAAAGAGAATAATAATGAAGGCTTATACAAAGAAAATTTATAACAAAAATTTTCGCGATAGATAGTCGTATGGTAGCCTCGAAAGTTTTCTAAATCCAGATTAGCGGGATTGAACATTTAGATAAACTAGTAAGAAAAAAAATATGTTTATTTTCACAATACAATAATAATGTATCTTTCTGCGTAATAGTAACAGATTTTTAGAGGTTACATATTCAACCGTTTTGACCCGGTTGAACCCAGTTTTAAACTCTACTTCCCTCCTTATGTTTGGGCATACCCGGAGGCCATAAGTTCGTCTTCGACATTTCTGATTTATTACCGTTAACATGGTTCGAATGATTGAACATTGAATTTCTTGAGTTCTGTTTTGTTTTCCCTTCGTAGTTTTCAAGCAGAGTCAAAAAATAATCGACTTGCCACATGAATGGAATATACCCATGCGGCACACGTTTATCATTTCGAACCGTTGGATCAAGTAATTCCTCTGATCTTAGCAAGTCCATAATCTCCTTCTTAGTCAACGGCATTAATGGTTCATCAAATGGATTTGATATTAAACGATCTTTCGGAGGCGACAATGTAGATTTTTTTGCGCCAGAAAGGACAACCTGTTCGATATGCCTAAATAAATGTTTAATTACATATGTCTTATTTATATTTATAATGAAAGATAAATTAAAAACTTATCTACCTTGGTGTGCTATGATAAGGCGTTATCCTGTTTTTGTTTCCAGTATCTCTTTCAACCTTTGGCATTTTTATCGCTGCTTTATTAATTTAACGTGTTCGATTAACGTGTTCGATTATTCTCACACGCTTCACTACAACAAATTATCAAACTTTATCAGTAGAGGAACAAGATGGCTCAAAGGTGACTTAGTTAGCAGAAGAGTTTTCATAAATCACTATTTTTGTGATATCAGTTATGCGCCATATATATATGACGGTAATCATTTTGATTAATGTTTGATTTACCGCGATAAAACGTGGTAGATCAAAACAGTAATAATTTACATATTAATTGGAAAAGCCTACTACCGTGTATAACGACTTTATCGAATTATAATATATATCTTTCAGAAAATGCACATTTCACGTAAAGTGTTAACCAGAGTATAAGAATATGAATTTTAGTTCCACATTCCTTTCCATTTATAAACTTATTTTTCAAAATTTGCGATTGAATAAAGCAAAAACAGTAAATTTATTTTATAATATAAAATTTTCTTATTAGAACTAAAATCCAAATTTCAGGATTGTAGGAAATTTGTGAAATATAAAGAATATAGTTAAAAATATACAGTATATGTAATTTATATCTAGTTTTCTTTTATTATGTTTTGATTTTTATTTAATACTTGGTTTAATTTTACTCTTGTAACAAATATCAGATACGTGATAATTATTTTATAAAAATTTTCTTGGCCCATTGGTCCGAATTATAATTTAGTTCTTTTTAATATTAATGGTAAGGTCATGGTCCTATCTTTATTATATTTTAATTGAAATTTTTTGCAAAAGAAATTTACTTTTAAATATTATAAAAAGAATAAAGATTTAGACAAATTTGTAATCTAAACTGATATAATTTAATTTTTAATATGTAATTATAAATTTTTTTAAAATTGGATTCAATTTTGTAAATATAAAATATAATTTTTTAAAAAATTAATACTTGATTTCTTCCAACCTATCCTAGCTAGAAAATAATTTGAAATAGTTATCTACAACACATATTAGAAAATAAATGATGTAATGTTACATTGGGTATTTTTTAGTAATACAATGTAGTTTAGATATTTTTATTTTTTTTATTTGTTTATTTTTTTTTAAATAAGCAGTTAATCACTCAGCCAAATTGGTTTTATTAGTTAGTAATATCTTTAAGTACATTTATAATTTGTAAGAGTACAGCTAGTTATATGTACAACTTTAGTTATTGTTTATTTAAGAGTTCTGCTCTAAAGTTACCTATTATCTGTCATATTTAATTCTACTTGTGAATATCTTATTTAAATTTTTTAGCCTATCTCTAATCTGTATTTATATATTTTTAACTATTTTACTTTAAGATAAATAATCTTATATCAAAAACTATTTAGATTTAACTTCATCTTTTTTTGTACTAATACTCAGATTTTTATATATTTTAAAGCCTGTTACTTGTCAGTAAGATTTAGAGAGCCTTCTTGTTAATTTATTTATTTACTTTACAAACCTTAACAGAATTATATTTTTGCAAAGTTTATCTAAATTAGTATAACTTTATAATATATCTTTAGTATAGGTCGTATTATCACTTCTAATACATCATATTTTTTAAAATAAATTAAAAAGCTTATTAATAATATTAAATCTAATGACTATTATTTTAAACTATACTTTTAGGATTATATATACTATAATATTAAGGT